CCAACAACAAACAATCCGTACCTTTCAACCCAAAATACATCTTTCGAAGAAAGAGATAGGCCTGGACTAGACACCTAAAATACATAATATATCATACTGCTTTGACATTTCAGTTTGAACACAGATTTTTGGCTGACATATGGCAAATTCTGAAAATTCCTGCACGTCGTCGTTCGATTTCCAAATAAGCTGAGCTCTGGTATTTCAGGTTGGCACGTTGACACATCATTCCCGGCATTTCTGTCTCTTCCTTCTTCTAGAAATATAGGATTTTTAAAAATAATTTACCATTGCACGATATTACTGATATTACGTTCAGACGTGCAGCTGGCTAAAGGTAGGCCAAAAGATCTACGTCGTATTGGAAGTAGGCTCACATGACGTAGGCTACGGTAGTCCACACGCGGGTCAATGTAATAATTTAATCCACACCCTGAAATCTTGTTGACACTAATTGCTCCAAGAAGGATAGTGCGTCTGCATCGTAGGTTAAGCTTTTCAATTGCTGTAGTTAGGCTAACTCATTTTTACTTATTTGTCTGTTTTCCTTCAAATTTCATTCTTCTTTACGAAAATGTATGCATTTGTCCCTACAACTTCAACCGTTAGATAGAGTGATTTAATAAGATAATTAAGAAAATATTGATCTCCACAACGAGAGATCATCATCATCATCATCATCATCATCATCATCATCATCATCATCATCATCATCATCATCATCATCATCATAATCATCATCATCATCATCATCATCATTGTTATAATAGCAAGGAATAAAAAAAGGTTGAAAAGATCTACACCTAACCTTCTTGGACAAGAGCGAACAATCTCGGAGGGCCCGTGTGCAAGTTGGGCAAGTTAAAGATCCCTTGGTGGTATAAAATCAATAAGAAGAGTAGGCTTCGGCCGCCACAAGGCGAAAAATTCAAAATTTCCTTCCAACTAAAAAAGTTTAATGTGTCCCGCGCGCTGAGAAAGAGTGCAAGAAAAATTGCAATGCGTTTTTGCGAAGACATGATACATTTGCTACAGCCTGTCGTTCGCCTTTAAGTGTTGTGTGTAAGTGTATTATTATATGAATGAGTGTGTTAGCGTGTGTGTGTGGGGG